AACTAGTCGAAAATAATGTGTAATAAATTAAGCATTTCCATTAGTTTATATGTTAATCGATGTTCAGGAAGATCATTTTCTGTTATAACATTATATTCGACTAGTTCTGACAACACATTTGTTATCAAAATAATAAAATTTAAAAGAGGAAGTAAGATTTTTTCAAAATTAGCATTACTTTCATCATCTAAGAACTGCAACGAATATTCTTTAATTAATTCAATCAACTCCTCCAAAAGACCATCGTTTTTCTGAAAGTATTTCGTTTCATAATCGTATGCCTCTTCATTTTGTTTCTTTTGTGTCCACAGACTTTCTTGTAGGGACGTGATACAGTGCATTTCCTCAATATCACAGAAACATAAAAGCTCAACTGATTTTTCTTCTTCTATAAAATACGTCGTAGATTTTGGCCATACTTTGAAAATTAGAGAAACGATAACTTTTGCGGTTATCTTCTCAGAAAATACATGGCAGGTTTCGTTGTTATCCACGTTTAAAATCCATCGAAGAATACATTTTTGGAATGCACTGTTTATTGATAAATTTTTTGGAATGATAAATCGGTTACAAAGTACGTCTAAGGACTCCAGTGAGTGTTTGCTTAAGAGAAGTACTCCTGAATGATAAGTGTTGAATAAATTTGCAAAAGGCAATTTGTTTTCCAATTGTATTAAACTTTGAATTAATTTGTGAGTATACTTAATGTTCTGATTCAAACCAGCTGTACTGTAAATTAATAATTTTGCTTTATATAAGTAATCTCAAAATGAAAAGAATAACTTACCGATGTGCCATATCCCATACTACCATCCAAAGCGAGTGTAACTTATTCTGATATAAGTCTTTAAGATCATCAACTTGGTCCTGAATTTTGATTAGAACACATAAACATTTATACAAGTGATGTTGTACATTTTTATCTTTGCACTGAGCTTGTAAAGTTGAAAGAGTCTGTAGAAGCATTATATATTGATGCGATGCAATTAATGTTGGACAGTCGTCTAATACGCTACTAATAAATTCTATCCTGATAGTACAATAGAAATAAGATTATTAAAACACTGATTAAAAGGATCTATTTAATACTTTATACGTTACCATGGCCAATCTTTAGTTTCTTGAATGCTACTGATAATTGAGTCAATAGTAAAGTCAACTTTTGCCCTTTTAGTGCTTGGTTCGAATGAAGAAGTAGTAGACATTTGAGTTGAATTGAAATTCACATGACACACCTGAAATTATTTTATGTAAATGTTCGTTCTTTTAAAACTTTGTGTGCTATTTTTTAATGTGTATTTTATATTAGGGGAGATTGATTCGGATTTAGAAGAAATAGGAGAACGCGTGATGCGAAAACGATAGAAAACAATACCTGTTTATAAACTTCAATTCCAAGAGCCAGGAGGTGTTTGTCTAACGAATGAAACTGAATTTGTTTCCGTCTATAAGTCAGTTGAACTTGGTGCTTTATAATATAACCATCAATCTTTCTTACTATAGCTGAATATAGATATTTCAAGTTTCTCTTCCATTTTTGCCAATCACAAGCATATGCACATGTGTCTCTTTCTGAGGAACCTTTTGGATGGTGAAGTTTGATTTGTAACAGTAAAAACTTGTATATTAAAATCTAAGAATATAGAAATAATTAAGAATTTATAAATAGGAGAGGTGTAGAATTAATAATTACCTTAGTATTTTCATATGTATCAGTTTCCAATATGTTTATAATCTTTTCAATAACTTCTTCTCCTAATTTACAACAAGACAAACGACAATCTTTTGCTGTCTATAAAGGAATTTTTTTATTTAAATAATTACTTGTAAATAATTGCAAGTCGTATACCTGAGTACAAAAATCCAGTAACATATTTAGAGTAATTTCAAAACTGAGTTTTTTTGTGGAATCTGCAAACTGTTGATGAGCCACTTCAGTGACAAAACTGAAAAGTTGTCTTATTTCGTTTGCAGGAAGACCAAACAGAAGACCATTTTGTAATGTGAGTTGTAAACATTTAAAAATTTTTGTGTCTTCTTTTGACTTACTATAAAGGTTTTTTAAGTGATGTAGAAGTTCTAAACAAATTAAAATTAATTATTTAAGATTGATATATGTGCGAAATATTACCAGTCCAATAAATAGGGGGCACACTTCCCACATAGTGGGAATTATTTAGAAAATGTTCTTTTAATATATTAATGTATGAATCACCAAAGTACTTCTGGAGTTCAACTGAAGTGAAGCTTTTCAAAATACATTTCAATAACTTGTGACCAACCAGTCTTTGTTCTGAAATAAATATCAGCTGATGTTGAGAAAAAAACTGGTGATGCTTCATGCTTAATAGGGTAAGACAAGGATGTAAATTATGTGCACAGTTCTTTGACATACATCTACGCAACATACAAAGGAGATAAGTAAAATAAGGGAGCGGGAATGGTTGTGGGGAGAAAAAATTTAGACACAAACTTGTGTTGTTGCTATTATACTAAAGTCTATAAACCATGGGGCTTGAAAGAGATGGGAGACTTGGAAATATATCTTGGAAGGGATGAGCTCCACACGAATATTAATAAGACGAAGGCTATGGAATTACGTGAAGTTAGAGCTAGAAAGGAACGAGAAAAGGACAGAGGTAAGTTGGAAAGGAAAAATAATAAGAAAGGTGAAAAATACAGTTATTTAAGATTCATAATGGGAGAAAGTAATCGTGATAAACTGCATATAAATGCTCAGATAACAAACACTTTAGGCGTTAGGTTTTATCAGGCAAGATATTGAGGATAGGGTAAAGGCTGTGCATGTGTAAGGATGATTGGTTTGGAGGAAAAGATTAGTTGATGCGATAGCTAAAAGGCTTGGTATTTATGAAGTAAAAATTTGGGGATGGAAGAAGCAAATACAGTTCTAAAATATATACGAAAAGTACATAAAGTAGATGATTACAATCGTACACCAGAGTAAGTTATAAAAGGCAGGAAATTCCTAAGGAAAACCGAAAAACGGGTAGGGAAGGAAAATTTGGAAGAGGAATATTTTCAAAGTAAAAACAAAAAATGTCTATGAGAAGGAAAGAGAGGAGACATTAAGGGAATTAAAGTAACATCAGAAGTGGATAAGTGGGGAAAGATAAGAATGTGTGTAGGTAAGAAGGTAAGGATAAGGTGTGGTGAAACACAGAATTAATAAAAGCTTGAATGTGGGAGCATTGGCACCGGTATTTCAAAGGAATAAAAGAGAATGTAAGCTTTGAATAAATGTGTGAAATGCGAAAGGAAACGTTGCTGTATGTATTGGAAAAATTGATAAAGTATAGATTAGAATCAGTGTACTGAGATAATAAGTGAGAGTGGAAAAGGGCTGGTCCCATAAAGGATATCTAAAAAAGAAAGGGGTACTTGTTAAGGGGGATAGGTAGTGAAATTTTGAAAAATTTCTTAGCTTTTTTTTGGGTAGTTACACAATTTTGATTTAGTCATACTTAAACATACTTAAATGTCCTCTAGAAGGAGGATTATGATATAAATATCATGTGAATATTTATATCATAATCCTCCTTCTAGAGGATTATGATATAAATATTCACATTAAACATACTTAAATGTCCTCTAGAAGGAGGATTATGATATAAATATCATGTGAATATTTATGTATAATAAATATTCACATGATATTTATATCATAATCCTCTAGAAGGAGGATTATGATATAAATATCATGTGAATATTTATGTATAATAAATTAATGTTGAAATAAGGTAATATTAGTACATATGTTATTTGCTAATTTACCGTTCCCAAGACTAGCTTTACGAACAACCATTGTCAATAAGTTTCTCTGCGTGTATGAAGCATACGTCATTGACTTTTTACCTTTTTGTTCATCTTCTGCAAGTCTCAATGCTTCCTACAATGATCAAAATGGGTATGCAGTTTAAAAACGAATCACGTTTAATTCTTACTAGGTATAAGAACTCATGAACACTATTCAAAAGATTTGTCCATGAGCATACTTTAATTTTTTTTTCATTTAAAATCCTAATAATCTTTTCATCTTCCAAAAGCAGGGAGAGCTGATTTGAGCTTTTCTTCCTCAGCATTATTTTGCTAGAATTTAGGTCAGTAATGCACTGACTGAGGTCACTAATCGACATTTTTTGTTTTATTTTTCCTAAAACAAAACCTTCACTAATAAATGTTTAATATTTAAACTTACTAAAAATTGATACATTTATTATAAGGAAATATATCACGATGTAGATACTAATATTAGTTTTTGATTTTGAGGAAGAACATTATTATTGTTATAGAATTATAGATAATCATAACGAATCAGCTGATTCTTATTTTTTGACTCTTAATTAATTAACAGGCATTGTTGTTTATGTGTACATATAACAGTTTATGAAGAGTTTATTTACATGTAGCTATCAATGTTAAGGGTCCTTACCACCTTTTTAAAATATACTTATTACTTATGGGTGTTTTTATCAAACTGCAATCGTATACAAAACAGTACGAATCTCTCAGATTCTATCAGGGAATAAACAATCACTTTTTATCACTACAACTTTCAAAAAATCTAACAAAAAATGATAAATGAAAATCTACAAGCAATCTCAAATATTTTTTACGGCGGCATTATGTTGTTTTTCACTTATCACCACAAATATAAAATATAACCAGAAGAGAGTAACGTTGACATTACTGACCTGATGGATCGTCATCAACCGCAACAATATTCTATGCATTTGAAGTCCATGTAATAGAATCTCCCTAAAGTCGGTGAAAGATTTACCTTATGTGCATAGCATTTGCTAATACGAACAAATTGATAAATTTTTATTTTTTCGATTCACACNATAAATATTATAGATAATGTTTCTTTCTTAATTAATTCAAAATGGTTCGTAGCCAAGGAACATATTCAGAAATTCTGGTATATAATCCAGGTAAATATGGTCTAGCGCATCCTATTCCTGTAGATACTACCCCAGCAATGACCATTTGGTTTGTATTTTTAAAATTAATCATAAGAGGACCACCACTGTCAGCCTAAAATCCAATTTAATTAATGAGTATTTTCTGGTTGATTACCTTAAATGGTACGTACCCAACAGGCATCGATCCCACCATTTTGATATCCTGCACACATTTGTTTACTGCTTATTTTAATTTTTTTACCTTGTGATTTATACCACGATTGGCATTTTTCTGTTTCTATAACGTTTACATTAGCTTTTTGTAGTACATTTGCTCTAGAACCTAAAAAAAAAATGATTTAAGTGAGTACTGTTCTAAAGTCTAACACTTTATCGATTAAAGAAAATTGAACGCTCGTTATAGAGGTTTGGTGGATGAAAATTGATGGAGAAGGGATGCTAAACAACCAAAAATACAGGGCACCTTCTGAGACAAAGGGTTTAAACAGAAACAGGAGTAAAAAGGGGCAGAAGTAGAGTTAGGTTAGATTACCGTTCACAAATAGTGAGATATGTGGGATGTTATAGCTTCAGGAAAATGTTAAGATTAACTCAGTATAGAAAAGAGTGGAGGTGCGTTTCCAGCCAGTCTTCGGGAAAATATGTTTTTGTTTCCTTGTTGGCAGTTTGTTTGGCATTCCATAAAATATTTCTTACTCCTAATTCTATTATGAATTAAATAAACAATTTTTGAATGAATTAAATTTTTACAAACCTATAGAACTATCTTCTTTTGTCCAACCCCATCCAGCTACTGTTGCCACTGTATCAGCAAAAGTTTTATAATTTTCTTCGTTTTCTGAACTCGGTATACAGATAGGGCTTACTCTTTGTGACCATTGGACGCTATTGCCTATTTCTATTACGGCAATATCATTTGCTGGTCTATCACATGTGTAATTTGGATGGATTGTGTAGGAAATAACTGGTAATTCGTATTTGTACACGTCAGATTCCCTTAAGTCGTGTTGTCCGAGAGAAACTTTTATTTGGCGTGGTTTTACGAAGTCAAATCCTCTAATAAAAGTTCTAATTTGTTAAATTGGGACTTACAAAAAGGTTTAAAAAATTGTTAAGTTATGGGCAGTATATCTCCATCTACTGGTATTTTCTTGTTAACTGTAACTGTTATAGTTTGTAGTAAATATCAGTAAATGGCGATGGTGGAGACTCGGGGTTAAATGGAGCAGGTGTTTTACAATTTTTTGAAAGATAATTCAATCCTACGATCTATCATAAAATCAAACTTATCTAAATTTTCTCGATGAAATTATGGGTTTTTAATACAAATAATAAAATAAAAAGAATTGACTTCTATGCAATGGTTAATTTAAAAATTCGAAAAAGATTGTTGAGGGTGTATGTTTGGAGCACGGAAAAGAAAAGTATAGAAGAGTTCAAAATGTGGTGTTATAGGCGAATGATGAGGATACCGTGGATAGAGAGGGTTAGAAATGAAGAGGTATTAGAAAGAATAGGAGAACAGAGGATTCTATGGAAGTCAATAAGAAATAGGCAATATAGGTTGGTAGGACACCTTCTCAGGCATGAGGGTCTAGCCAGAGACATATTAGAAGTAGAAGCGGGAGTTAGGAGGGGTAGAGGTAAGTCTGGATTAGATTACTGTTCACAAATAGTTAAGGATGTGGGTTGTTCTAGTTTTAAGGAAAGATTAGCTCAGGATAGAAAAGAGGGGAGGTGCGTGTCCAACCAGTCTTATAACTGACGACCTTATGATGATGAATACAAATAATTTTTAAATTGAAAACATCGATTGAACTGTCAAACAATGCTGTGATCACTTACGAGATTGAATTTTACCCAAACGCCTTGATTCAGAAATGACCTACAGATTTTGAAATTGACATGTGTGTTGTTACAAAAAAATGTTACAAATGTTAAACGATCTAATGCACCATTTAAATCTTTACAGTCGTTATTTAAGTAAATAACAGATAGCTTTAATCTAAGTCACTCCTTTTTATGTATGGGCTAAATTAGACAAGGCAGTTCTTCAGCATCCATATACTAGCCACCCCTGGATGGCGATATACTGCCCCTAACTTGGTAATATAATTATGTCAACTATGTTTTATGGACCAATTTCGGATTAGTCAGTGATTTACCGAAACTGCCTACGGTGTGGTGATGAGAACTAAGTTCAAAATCACGATCCGCTTCTGACAATGTCGATAAATTACTGACTAAAACTTATTGTTCTTTGAAAAATTATACAGATTAAATTTACCCGCAGAGACAATGTGCCGCAGTGAGAATATGTTTTCGTGTTATTATTGAACCTCCACAAAAGTGTCCACCTTTTTTAGTGATCGAAACAATCCATGGAAACTCTCCCTTTTCAGCGTCCGTTCCACCCACAACCTTCGGATCTCGTCCCCCAAAAACTTTACCGCAAGGTACATCAGCAACTAAAAAAACAAAAAAGAACTTTGAACATTAAATATTATTTTAAATACTCTCTAAACCTACAGTTATTTATTGAATCCATTCCTTTTATTGAAAGTAGAGCAAATGTAGCAAAAAAAACGTGTTTCATTTTTATGATAAATAAATAATATAAATACTTAAATTAAATTAATTATTATTCTTAAATCTAAACCTAAAACTATGATTAGTCTAAAGTGTTGTAAAATTTACTTGCTTTACATTGCGCTGTGGTTAGTATTTATACTTAACCTGCGCTATGATAGAAAAGAGGGGATTGTAGCCCTAACACAAACTTTACCTCAATTTTTAATTCAAGATCACCGCGAATTTCTGATAACCTTGTTCACCTGTCGAGGTTTTCACATAAATTAACCGAAAATGTCCTTCTTTTCTTTTTGCAATCGTTTTTCGTGCTTTGTTATTACATTATCAAGTGCAAATAATAGTCATAAAAAATGCAGCTTGTATTATCCTTTGGAAGGAGCGGTCTTGTATGTAACTGTGTCACTGAGTCAATGTCAGTGCGCGATTACAAGAAATGCATAGCAATATTTACTTCACTAAGATAACAAAATTTGGAAATCGATAATAAGTGCAACTATTTGCATTTGAAACTGATAAAAATAGAGTAGCGAAAATAGCACGTACCTATTTTGCTTGGCTTTAGCAGATAATTATCATACGAACTTGAAATAGACATATTACGCTAGGTCAGTAACAATTAAAAAGTAACAACAAGGTTTTTTGTAATATGTTAAATTCCTTTTTACACTTTTTGGAACGAAGTTTTTATTTTTTCTTTATTTTGCAAAGCTTTTACTTTGTCAAGAATAGTTGAATGGAAGTACTATTTGAATTTCTAGGAGTGATGTTCCATGTATTCTTGAATGAGTATATTAACAAACTCGGAACTTTTGTTTACGGTGATTTTTTAGGTTTATTATGATGATTAGATTGATACAGGTGTATGTTTGGAGCGCGGCGATGTACGGGTGCGAAACATGGAAAGGTTGGAAGTGAGGAGATATTAAGAAGAATAAAAGAACATCAATCATTTTATATCAAAATATTTACAACCCCATTTTGTTTCTGATCTTTTACACATTGTAATAAGAGAATGAAATTCCTTAGCTTTGGATTCATATAATAAGTGGTTTTTCGAATCGTTTTCTAAGAATTTTGGATTATAGACGTTTATTAGCACACCACAATATCTTGTAGTTTTCAGTTTTACACAGCTGGTGTATATCAATTCGATATTGTTTTGCGGGCTATTTTGTCGTAATTCATAGAATTTCGTAGTTCGATAAGTAATGATTTGACAAGTGGTGATATCAATTTGGAACTTCAAAAATTCATGGACCATGATACTGAACCCGGAAAACAATAGCGATTCAATATTTTACATTATCCATTTCCGAGGAGTTTACAATTTTTTGGGCTGTCTTCAGTTAAAGAATTACAAGGCATTCATGGAATGACTCTTTGTCCCCTTTTTAAGCTTCTGATACCTTCTAGGTCTTCAACAAAACGAAAATAGGAAACCATGGATAAAAATGAGATTGTAGGATTAATAGAAGAAAGGCGGAAATATAAAAACAGGACAGACGAAGAAAGGCAAAAAAGATACAAGGCTATAAAGTGGGAAATAATTAGGAAGTGTAGGGCAGCTAAGGAACAGTGGATTGATAGGATGTGTAAAGAAGTAGAAGAAAAAGAAGTAGGCAAAATAGATGAGGTTAAGAGTATAATTAAAAGGAATTTTAGAGATGTAGGATACAGTAGTAATAATATAAGAAACGAAAGTTTAGCTCAGGATAGAAAAGAGTGGAGGTACGTTTCCAACCAGTCTTAGGACTGACGACCTTATGATGATGATGATGATGAATACCATCAAAGGCCAATGTGAGCAACTTTCATTCATCATTTAATATAATGTTTGATTGGTGATACTAGCAAAACTTTTAACGGCAAAAATGTATATTGCATTTTACAAATAGAAAATACGTTTGGAAAAGTATTTTAAATAAAGTACAAAATGCTTTTCTTAAAAAAGTATTTAAATGAAAGATACAAATAGGTATTTTTTATTATGTATTTGCATTTTAAATGCAAGTATTTCAAATAAATCACATCTCTGCTGGCGACCTTATGATGATGTTGATTGAAATAATGTTTTTTTAAAATATCTTTCGTCTTTGATATAAATTTGTCTGTATTTCCTAAAATAATCCAAAAAAATTTAAAGAAATTTTGTTTATTAGAATTCATAATATCGACGTAGATTATTTCAAATAGTCGTTTAGTGAATAATTATCCTTTCGTAAATTGATTTTAGCTGTTGATATTTTCCTCATAGACATTCGTCAGATTTATAGATAAAATTGGCAACATCTAGAGCTATATTGGACCAATAATAAAATTTTTGGAGACGTTTAATCGTTTCTTGAATTCGATTGTGATTACTATTGCGGTAGTTCTTAACTGCTTCAAGTTCAGTTTCTCTATTTTCTGCATTCATAAAATTTTTCGTATATTTAATAATTTTGATAAGTGAATCATGAGATATTATTTCTTCAAATAATCTAATTCGACATTTTCTATTTTTGGATTAGCGAAATAAAATGTTTTTCTTTTTAATTGAATGCTTTATTTTGTTGGAGTAGGTACTTTGTTTTGACTGTTATTATAATTTGATTAAAAATTAATAAAATTTTCATCAATTGCAAATGCATTCTTCTGCAGTGTGTTGTTCTATTTCTTTTTGACTTATTTGTTCTTTCCAGTATTTCTCTATTATTTTAAGTACTTAATTTTTTTCTCTGCAATTAACCGTATTTGACGTTGTGCGTCGGCAAGCGTGAAAGCGAAATATTGAGGCTTTGACTGGGTCATTTCGTTTGATTGTGAGAGATTTAAAGTTGGGGGGCTAATGTAATTTTTAGGCGAAACAAAAATTTGAC